CATTTCTATCACTTAGTTAATCCTGCTGTAGTTATTTTTTAGTTATAAATAATACATTATCAGTTTTATGGTTGCTTCTACCCATCTTGTTGAAACAATTTATACGTTACATCAAGTATCTGTCGTTCAAAAAGCAAATGAACTGCCAAGTTCTAAAGGGTAACAGATGAAATCGTCTTGTTAAATGTTGTTTACTGATAAGAATTTTGCTGTACTTTATTGATTTGTTGGTGAATCTAAAGTTTAGTGAAGGAGTTAGTTATCAGAAATAAAAGACATCTGAAACCCTGTTATACTATTTAATATGTCACTTCGAAATTCTAAAAATCTGGTAAAATCTTTGTCAAATGGCTATTGTTAACCAACTTCAGAATGTCCAAAAAGTAGGTACACGTGTTTGACAATAAGAGAACATGCTTCAAGTTTGTCTACAATCCATCGCTTGAGTTCACACTTGTCTTAGGAGGTATTTAACTTCCTTCTTAAGTTTGCACTTTAGATCCATCCATTCAGTCTGCTGAATCGCGAAATACATATTGGATACTAGATGTAAGGTACTCATACAACTAACTGGTGAACCTTCTTTAGAATACGACTCTCTAACTCTAATTTTGCTGGCTATCATGGTCTTCTGTCATCATAATAAAGTAGAATGCATAGCTGAGGCTCATCTACTCCACGAGTCTGTTCATAGAAATCTTTACTGACCATATCTAGTGCCAAGGTGTGTGCTGTTCAACCTAATGGTATTGGTACAGCATATAGTCGTGGATGTGCACTATCAAGGAGCCATAAACAAGAAGAGAATTTCTATTCGGTAATACCTACAGTAGTACTTCTCTAACTGACATCGATCTTCAGTGAAAACTGCTTTCAACTTGCACCTAACCTTATCGACAAAACATTGTACTTTTATGTAGACAGTACATTTTTCCTTCTATGGCATATGTCTCTAGAAAGAAGACATGTAGTTCCACTTGGAAATTTAAGCATATTTTTTCAATGTTAAACTTTCTGGTGTTGAGATTTGAAAAAAACTTGAGAGAAGAAACCTGTTTATCTAAGGCACTATAATCTATTTCACCTTCTGCTTCTATTACACACTGACAGAAATAATTAAAAAATTATAATTTTAATCAAAATTTTCATTAAACGTGTATATCTAGATTGTGTTTGTGTGTGCATTGTTGACTGCGTGATTATATTGCAATTGCTACTTCCTAGGATATTTTTATGTGTATGTTTGCATGCATGCATGAGTGTACCATATGTAAGAAAATAAAAACAGAGAGAAATTATTAAACGCTGTTGGAAATCCGTTTACTACATCATATATATATATGTATATATATATATGTACATATAGTATATATACACATATATATGAATGGATAGATAAATAGGTAGGTAGATAGATAGATAGATGGATGAGTTAAGGAGTATTTGACTTTGTCCAATAATTTGGAATAATGATTGATAGAAACATTTTTCAAGGTACTGAAATTATTTTCCCTAATTCATTCATCCACATTACCAGTTCATTTTTTATTTTTCTGTCTCCGTTACTGTACTCTGTTGTATGAATATGTGTATGTACGTGTATTCATCAGTAATCGGCGGGCATATATATATATATATATATATATATATATATATATATGACTACATGTACGCCAATATTATAATCACCAGTAGGTCTCGTCGACTTTTGATAATGTTAGCAACACTCAGATAAAAAGTCATTAAACTACTACTACTACTAATATTAACAGTAGTCATCATTATCATCGTTATTGTTATTATTATCGTTGCTATTATGATTACAAGCCTTATCAGTACACTGTCCAGTAGATGAATGATTTTTATCTACACCTTTACTGTAGGTGAGCCAATTTGTAGAGGAAGAGAAAGTAAAAAAATTTTAATGCATTTATTATTGTATTTCTTTTTCTATTTACTACCTGAAATGGATAATCTCGAAGAGAAAAGTATTATGATTTTGATAAGTATACAAAATACACCTGTCTTATCATATGTATATATATATATGGATATATATATATATATATATATATATATATATATATATATATATATGGATATTTCATTTGTGGCTATCAGTAATAGGATGTAGGATATATGTGTATGACAAATTGTTAGACTATGATCCAAAATATCATCAATATAGAACATTTACTATACAACCGGTTTTCATGAAACCACTTCTATTTTTTGAATTTTAAACTCCAAAGTATGTTTTCCGGTCTCATTGGTGATCTACCTAGTTGCTGAGAGGAGGCAAAATTAGTGGAACTCATATCTTCAGCAGCATTTTATCACCATAGTACTTCTGTTGAGTAAACCGACCTGATAGTACTAAAGCCTAAGTTTTCTACTGAAGGAATGAATAAAAGTCATAGAAACTTGCCATTTTTTTCGCTTAATATTATTCCTACTAAATAGTGTATATTTTGAGATATATACGGCAGGAAAACCAAGATTTGTAGGCGTTGAACACATGACCAACGACGGCAAGGACATATTTTGTTAGTTCGCATTCTGTGGTTTTTTTCAGTTCATGAAATAAAACCTCAGAATTCAATGTTGACTGTGTAAATGCAAACACATTTTGAATTTTATTAACTCCATAGAATAAGACTTATTAAAAGAAGTAATTTTATTCAGAATAATTATTCAGTGGGTATATTGTTTACCAGAAGTGTATGTTGAACTCTGAAATATCTATATAACTCACTTCTTATCTAACTAATAGGTTAGTAAAATATGGTAAGTATAGTAAGACAGGAAAACAGAGGCACTAAGGTTACCTTATATCTCAATATTTACCCACCTATATTCATCAATAAAATCATGGGAAACTGTGAAAAAGTAGTAGTTGTAACACACATGGTTATGAAAGCAATATTAATACTAATAATAATAATAGTGGTTACACCATGTTGAAGGAATCCAAAAGTTTTATTGTGCTATCATACCAAAAAGTGAACTCCAGCAATACGGAGAATTTTCAGTAAAACTACCATTTGAGTAACATTGAATCTTACAAAGCCCGTTTCTTTAAATACCTACGTTTTTTTAAGGATCACTAATGTGTAGATTTATATCTCCAATGTTTTACTAAGAAGTGGTGATCTGCGGGGTTATTGTTCCAGTGCTAGATATGAGTGTTCAGTAAAGTTGTTGGACTATGATTACTTAACATCACAAATTGACGGAAGTTATGAAAGTGATCTTATGAATTTCAACCTAGAGGCTGAGTAGTAGCATCCTCGCAGTAAAAACTAGGGATCACCGAATTTCATTTGATACTATATTGGTGGTGTACGGTGGTAAGGTGTCAAAAGCCTACTGTATTATAGTTGTCTACTGGAATTTGGTTTTTACTCAATCCTTAGTTATAAGCAATTCATGATAAAAAGAAATGACACCAAATATGAGGAATAGTTTAGGAGCACTTTTCGTCATATTTGATATTCATCAGCCTATGGTTTCTTCACACTGTTGTTCTCATCTCACTAAACACCGGCTTGTTATCCGCTGGCCTCTTGAGTTATGTAAGCCATTACCTGTGAAACAAGTACACTTTGATAAAATGTCCTATTGCTGACCTGTTTGGATCGCTATTAGTATATGAGCTTCTTATGGATATTTCTCATTACCGTCAGTCGAATAATTAGCCTACTTAGGAGATCATTGAGAGTAGTGAAAGTGAGAGTTCTCTTCCAAAGTGAAAACAAGCATAACTTCAAGGCACCTTCGTGACTTCCAGAAAAATAAGGCTATCCTGGTTGTGTCACATCAAAAGCCACTCTGATCCTGTGCATAAAAACAGCACAAAACTAGGTGATTCTGTTCAAGGTGGCTTGAATGATATGTTGCTTTCAATCTGATTCATTTTGAGTACACCACAGATGAACTGGCTACCAAACAAAGAAAATAGGTGCGTCTGCTTCAAATCATCTTGATCTGGATAGTGAGTTTAAATATTTTCAAAATAATTTGGTCAAACACTAGCATAATCATAATGAGATTACTTTGACCGGCAGACATTTATTCATATGTAGTGCTGGTTATGAAAGTTCTGTGAAGATAATGATAAGAAAACATGATAGAATTCTCAATTTTAATTACAAGTTTAGCTGTTTAATCAATAGTCTCTACTGTAAAAGAAGATGGGAGTGAATTCGATATCTGCTACGTCATCAGTATAATTTAATTTGAATAAATGACAGTCGCAGATGATAATCCCAGATTCATTCACATTTCAGAACTTGTCTTATTCCATACATACAGATATTTTTCTTGAGTACTTTGATTGATTGCACTTTCGTTGACAGATACTTGATATAGTCCTTACAAAACGAGGCGACTTCTACTCGTCACTCAGAAACCTAATTAAAGTTATTAGCCAGAGTTTATCCAGACGGTGACCGATAACCAACTTTTATGTTTGCTTTTAGGTAACAAACAGTAAATACATCTGGATTTTTGACACATGCTTCTGAGCTGTCTTAAGGTAAAGTGAAAAGTTGTCGATGCGATTGTGTGACGTATTCGTGGCGTGGCAGAGTGGTATTATTGATATGAATGATTAATGAATCTGAGGCGAAAACTTGGATCACAAGAGGATTCAAAGAAGCTGTCTGTGTGTATCGGAGTGGTGATGTAGCAACCTCCACTACCCGCCAGGGTCTCGTAGTTGTCAGTGGAGCTCCTGTTTAGCTTCTGGTTCAAGTTTCGCCACGACCCAAATTTTCATCTCACCTTTAACAGTAAAACAGAAGAGTTGTTTTGTGCTTTATTACCCTGTTCGGGGTTTGCATAAATTTATCCACTTATTTAATGAGAGCTTTTTGGGACGTTTTTATGGGGTGGAAGTAATTATCTTGGAATTGTTGCAACTAAGTGCTTTTTGTATTTTTTTTCAGATTAGTTCATTGTTCTGATTCATTTACTGCACTTTCACCAGCCTGTGTACTATGCATCGCTTAGCGAAATCAATGAAAAGAAAGTGTAACCGATCAACTTTGATGTCATTGCATCGTCTAAAATTAATAATCGCTTCAATGTTATGCATTTATTCGATAAATTCACCTAAATGTTGTGCTTATTATCAGTTGGAACCTAATCAGTTGACAGGGAGGAATAACATAAACTCAGAAACGCCGCATAGAAAGACTTCAGCAACTGAACTAGATCATTCCGAAAGTGATATACACAACTATCCAGACTTTATGAAAAATGATGCCATGGCTGATAGTCATTTGATGATGTCTTCTCTAAACGATGTATTATTCCACTCGCCGTCATCATCATCTGGAGGTGCATCAGGATCACCATCGTCGGTATCATCATCATCATCTCATGGTGAAGTGGAGACACATCGGTGTGAACCTATTACACTGATATTATGTAAAGGCATGTATTATGAATATACAAGACTGCCTAATATGTTTCATCATGAAACGCAGGAAGAGGCTGGCTTAGAAGTGAGTCAGTTTTTAATATTTTTCACCTCCTTTTTATACGTAGCATTTACAGTGTTTATATAACACAGGATAACAATTCCCAGTTAGAGTAAAGCGCTGACATCGGAAAATCTCACTTCTCCCAAACGACTAACAATACTTGTAAATAGACTTATACTTTTATTTGTACATATACACTATTTTTGTAACATTGTCCTTTCACCGGAACACAACCAGGTTTGTAATTAGGAGCATCTTTCTTGAAGAAACATTCGAATTTCCACTAATGAGACTGCCTCAAATATCTGTGGTTTGGCAGAGTAGATTTACTGACGCCGAAAGATGATCGTAGATTAAATTATTATTATATCTTATGGGTACACTGACCTTATTGTTTGTGGAATAAACCGACTTCATTCCACTTTTTGTTGAATTAAGATAAAATGTTACGGAACACAAACTAAAGATATTTTTTTGAGATGCTCAAATTTTATATGAGTTTTATAATCCTCATTCAGTAAAAATTTGATGAATTTGTTGGAGCTATGGCTCACTGATCTAAGCAATTGATTTTCAGTCGGTAGATTACGGGTTTAAATCACGTTCCACATTTTCGTATGGAATCATTCGCAGTAACACAATTGGTATGGTTGACTGCATACTTCACGGATGTACATGTTGTTGAGGAGTTTCATTTAGTTTTTTGTTGAGTTCACTGGAAATTGAGCTACTGGTTAGTAATATGTCTGTAAAAATCTGTCTATCTGTGAAAGGAATTCTTGAATACTTTTAAAACAGAATAAAACTCTAGATGAAAAGTCAGTTTAAAATGGAGTAAACTGGTAGACAGATTCATCTTAAACTATTAGTGAATAATGTCTTCTCAGAGACCCTTAGTTATATGCACGATATCGGTTGTATAGAAAAAGGAGTATTCAACTTTTACCGCAAGAATACTACAATCCAACCAATAAATTCAATGCATTTGGTCTCTTGGATGAATTTAAACTGAGTGGGATGGACTAGATATTCAAAATAAAAGGAAATCATTTTATTTCACTGGCTGTTAGGATTTCATTAAACGCCTAGATACATCCAGTATAAAACATTGAATAATAGCTCGTAAAGTATTGTAAAATAGGTAACTATAAAACGAGTTCATAAAGAGCTGAAATGTTATGAGTAACCTTGTGCGTTGAAGGTTCTCAATGTTTTTCAGAAGCATACCGCTAAGCTTACCAAGGTAAATACTGCATTGGCTTTTATAAATGACTGCACTGAATTCGAAGTTCTGAGAAATAAAAATATAGTAAGTTCAACACCGGAAACACTTCCAGTTTATATACTGTAAGATAGGAAGTTTAAAAATTGCTCAGAAAGACAAGAAAACGGGACGTTTAATGCCATGAAGCAGATTACACAGCATACTAAGAAATGAAGTTCATGAGGTCAAAACCAATCTATTGAGTTGAAATGAAACACGACTCAATTACGATCACCCTTCAAGTGAGATAGTGATTACAGTTTTATTATACATGCACAGGCTCAGTCGAAATCATGTGGTAGCAATTTTTCAGTGAAGTGTAGTGGCCCAGGCATTTTCTACGTATTTAAAATTTTAATGGCTTTCGGATTATCAACTAGAATTTCTGTATCTACGACTTGTCTGCTAATTGCACTGGTTAGAATCCTGCTTTCCTTCAAGTGCAAATTCTTTGAGATGTAGTCAAAGAACGGAATGGATGTTCTTTTTTGAGTCGTTTCAATGTACTTGCAACCGCAGTTGCGCACAAGTACATAAGCTCAGATGGGGTTGACATAAGAATAGTGGTCATTCCATTCTGGTTGGTTTAGTGAGCATAGAGGATCGTATTCGGATACAAGTTGAGGTGGAAGAACGCCTTTTTTAGTGTTCATTCGATTATCTCATCCGTTTTTCGGAATAATGGATCTTCCTTAAATGTAAGATGAATAGGACTTAAGATGTTCGATTCCTTCAACTCATAAGTTTGCATACTTCATGAAGAATCTCTTGAAGTTCCCGTTCTCTTTTAGAAGCTACTTAGTGATGTACAATTCTTTCTTCACCCTATGATGCTTCCCACGAACTACTGAAAAGTCTCGAAACCTAATTAAATAAATACAAAATATTTATTGGTTGTAAATTTCGCCGTTATATTGTAAATTTAAAATAAGTTGTACTTTTTTTAATTATGAAGTAACTGGAACGCCACTATCTGTCATTAGTCAGTTTAGAGTCACATGTATTATTTAGATTCAGTGTTCCACACAATGAAACCTTACAAAGTTCATTACTTAACGTCACAGTCAGCAAAAAGGACTAGTGGAGATCATTCCTGAAACCTGATTTACGTACTATTTTAAAGAATCCATTCCGCGTATGCATCTTTTGTGGTGTAAAGTGTTCATCTAAGATATGTTTTGATAACGCAAGTGGTTTTAAACTCAAAATCTTTGCACGCATTCATTGTTTACCTCAGATCTACACCACCTAAGGTATATTCTCTGATACATGAAATATCTCTTCCGCCTACAATACTTTGAAGGCTACCACTGGGTTCTCAAAGTATAACACAGAATCCACTGATGTGACTGCTCAATAATGTACCTAACAGTTGAGTAATATCTAGTTTCAGTTTAACCAATATAATCTTTGACTGTGCTATATTTCCGGCTACTCACTTTAAATTAACGTTTGAATAAACAAGTTATTCGGGTGAATTCATTTCATACCATAAATTCATACATACTGTAGCAGTACACCTTTCATTTTCGTTTTCTGCCTAATAACAAAACCGGGGCATCCGATGCAACGCAATGGCTTTACTTTTTGAAGAATATCTTAGTTTGTGTGTTTACATATAAGGAGAGTCAACAGACTATACCCTGATCCTGCTTATATTCTTTCAGTTTGACTCGTTTCGGTCTATTATGAATGTGAAACTCGGATACAGATAGTCAGTGCATTGCAAAAGAAACTTCAATTTTGCAGAAACTGTAGATCACCAACTGGTGACGGAATCTAAGTGAATTTAAGCACTCTAACTGAACAGAGCCTACAAATCAGCAGAGGTAAAATATTGTAAGCCATTGGATTCCAACCCCGTGATTGAATGGTAAAGTGTTTGCCACAGGAACTAATGTCCTAGAACTTGCTCTCTCTCAGGGTTGTGGGTGCGTACTGCAAAGGAATTCCAAACTAGAACAAAATAACTATCTAGTGCTCACAGGTTTTCATTGGTTCTCCAAATGTGTCAGTCTGTGATGAAAACTAATTTCAGATCTTGTAACTGCTTCTCCTTCTGAAGGGATAGATGTATTGGGATAAAAAAGATACATATGTGCACTTATAATTTTATTATATTTATGTCTTAGTTGGCTGTTTTTAGTCCAGAGGAACTTTTTGTTGCTAGGACTCGTTAAAAAAAACCTTTCTAGTTAGGATGGAAAATACCAAGCAGTTTTACTGGTTTTATGAATGATTTTGTGGTAAACAAAGTTTGTTCTGCTTATTCTTTTTATCATATATATTTTTAACAAATAAAATAAAACTGAAAATAAAAGAACAGACCACACATGAACACGAGTTCACACTAGAAACAGTTATCAGAGGGAGGTGGTAGGTTTGTAAACGAATGGGTTTGGGCTAATCAAATAGATGAATATTCTTTAAAATAGGTACCTGTTCATTTTATGAGTATACAGGAATAAAGTTGATGTATTAGATTGTGAGTTATTACTGACTGTGGTAATCTTTTTGTCTTTCAGCAGCTAAAAAGGAATAACAGCGGGAACCAATTTCACTATTGCACTTTATTGCATCAAATAAAGGTTATTTTCTAATTATGTGTGTGTGGAGGTAGTCATAGAGATTAGAAAAAAGATGATTTTTTTCGAAATAGTAGGAAAGGCAACATAATTATCTATTTTATGGGAGTTCAGAAAAAAGTCATACAGATATAAAAGTTTCGTTATTTGGATAAGTTTTGCAGAATAAGCTAAGAGACTAAACCAAGAACAGGGATACAAGAGTTGTATATCTTCTTTCGGGGAATCTATCAGTTATTTAGGTTTGGTGAACTTTTAGAAGTAATGAACACGATGATTTGAACGAAGATCTTGGTGCTTGTTGGGATGATAGATCAAAAAGTCCTTTCAGCTTCGAATAAATGGATTCTGACTAAGAATTTCAAACCTAATTAATCTACCCTATCATTTGCGGTGGTTGTTTGGGAGAGATGCTGGTTGCGTTAAGATTTTAAATAGTTTCCATTTCCCTACTAAGTCACCAGGACTGCTCAAGTTTTAATGACTAGACTTCATAATGTTCGTAATATCTAGTAAGCTGCTAAATAGATTTGCGCTGTACAGAGTTGATTGAAAATAGAGGGTCTACTAGCTGATCATTTAAAGCCAGTTACTAAATAAGACGAAAATAAAAAAGTTATTAAATAAATACACTGGGTTGTCAAAGCATACTGATTACATTTCTTGGAATCAAATTTATCACTTCACTTGGTGAACAGTTTGATTTGCCATTCCAGTTTGCGCTTACACTTTTAGAGGTCAATCTTCATAGTGATGATGCATATAAACTATAACGAATCTTTAAAATGGAATAGGATCGATGAAAAATGTTTTTTCGTCGTAAATTTCAGTGTTTTATCATGAATGTTAGGTTGGGTGTACTATTTTACAATCTATGATCGACTGGAATACCTTTCTTTATCGTTAATTAATTTGAAGGCAGGTTTTTTGATAATTAAATGACATTCAGACACCAGCTAGGGAACTCGTTTACTCCCTCTTAAAAACAAATCAGCAATTAGTTGCTTACCGACTGGCTGATTCATGATACATAAATTGCAGCTGCTTTCGAATAAAATTGCCACAGTAATTACAGTAGATATAATTGAATAACTCAATGAAAACATTTACTGAATAAAATTATGTCAAGTAATTCCATAAGATTTTCGTCATCTACATACAGCCTTATGAAA